TTCCGTCTGAATTATTCGCTGATACAAGAAGAGCCAGTCATGCCTCTCGAAGGTGCCCCTTTACCCGATATGAAGAATTATCCAATACTCAATCAACAAGAAGCCGCACGTGTATTCGAGGCTGTCTTTCAAAAAGATTGTGGAAATAACGACATTTGCGAAAGCGATTTACAAGTGATAGCTAAACTGAATTTATCAGGTAGGTGTTTCTTTCTTATGAATTTCATATCAGAATTATCATAATATATACATATTTCACCGTGTAATTTTCATTAAAGTAAAATAACTTTTTAATGCCTCTTTTTAATGCCTTAACTTTACTCCATTCTCAGTTAATTCAACTTTTTCATAAACTGACATTTCATTTTGTACTGTTTCTCCATTATTTCACATTTGCCATTTGGCATGTATGCACTAGAGGCGTGTAAAATATCTTTACTGCAGACTTCCGCTCGATTGTGATAAAAAAAAAGCTCGAGCTTTTAGGATCAAGCTTTTTAGGCTCGAGCTCGAGCTTGATCTAAGACTCAAGCATAAGAAAAATAAACGTTATTGCGCATCGATCGAACCGTGTTACATGAACGTACCCAAAATACTGTAAATATTGTACGCATAGTCAAAATGCAATTCTGTAATCTTACATTAGAACTACACACAAGGAAACGGATAAAAGTTTGAGAGTTTTGTGCGCGATTGTATATACAATAAAATGGAAGATATTTTTCTCTCTCTCTCTCTCTCTCTCTCTCTCGATATTCTGCTTATATCTGAATAAAAACAAACATAATATAAAGCAAAGTATATTTTAAATTTACCAGAAAAAAATTTTGCTAAATTTTGCTAATATGATCTCTTATTGTATTAGCTTCCTCCGTAAAACCGGACTTCTACGAGTTGCTTTTGGGCGAAAGAGAAGAGATAGTAGTGGAAGTGAATGTGGCAAACATCGGTGAGTCTGCGTACGAGGCTCAACTGTTTATCATTCACTCACAAAGTTTGAACTACATCGCCAGTAAAAGCAACGATTCCGTAATCTGCAACTTGTACAACGCCACTATAGTATCGTGTTCTATCGGCAATCCATTCAAAAAAGACAAAGCAGTGGACATACAAGTGAGATTTGATCCCAAAGGTCTCGAGGATAATGAATCGCAATTGGGCTTTATAATTTTTGCAAATTCTACATCAAAGGAAATCAAAGAGAAACAACCCACTGTGCTGCAAGCTACGGTGTTAAAACGTGCCGAACTCTCAATCAAAGGGTAATTACTATGCTATTTATTCAGTATCCGATCTCATATGATTTCAGTGATATGTCTTCACATATGCAGCATTTACAACTTGTTAATTCGCTCTCTCTCTCTAAAAAAATTATATATATTTATACATAATTAAATTTGTATATCCATCGCATTATTTTTGCACGGTATACTGTGTCACTGTTCCTCGATAAGAAATACTGTCGATGTAAATATGTACTTATACTACTTATACACCAATAATTGAGCTATTCAATTTAATTTATATACAGTTGCATGCAAAAGTGTCCGGCCAAAGATATTTTTATGATTATTAACGTAGGTACCTCCACCGTGCTTCACAGTTGGTATTTGATATCGCGAATCATTTCTAGTGCCTTTTGGTCGTCGAACGTACCGTCTACCATCATTTCCAAACAAATTAATTTTAGTTTCATCTGAAAACATCACTTTCTTCCAATCTTCAACAGTCCAGTTACGGTGTTTTTTTGCAAATTCTAATCTGGCCTTCTTATTTTTTTTGCTAATAAGCGGTTTCTTAACTCCAACGCGTCCAAAAAGTCCCACTTCTGTCAATCTGCGTGAAACCGTACTTTGACTTATGTCAGCCAATTTTTCTTCGCGTAACTCGCGTGCGATGACCGCGGCATTCTTTTTCACATCTACGACAGCCTTTCTCTTAATCACTTTATCGACACGATTAGTAGTTTTTCTTGGCCTCCCAGGGCAGGGTTTATCTTTTAGAGCACCTGTAGTCTTGAATTTATTTATTATATCGTTAACAGTCGATTTACCTAATTCTAAAACATCAGCTATTTCACGTGAAACTTTTCCTTCGTTGTGAAACTTGATCACCAATTTACGTATGTCTAAAGACGTGCGTTTTGGCATTTTGACTGAGTATAATTGATCGAATAATAGAAAAGAAACGTGCTCTTAATGTTTACATACCTTCGTGACCGATAACGTAAACAAAGCCGTGCAAATTATACGTTCTTGGAATTTGGCCGAACAATTATGAAGAAGCAAAATGTGTTATTTTAGTTATAAATACGTGTTAATCGTTATAAACAATTTTTTAATTGTGCATTTTAATTACATGTCAAAAGTACTTTATGATGATATATTTGTGTTTTTATTTTGTACCCTTTCTACGTTAATAATGATAAAAATATCTTTGGCCGGACACTTTTGCATGCAACTGTAGTTATGTTTTTATTACATATACTAATAATTAAAAAAATGTATATTTATTTATATTTGTAGAAGTGCAAAAACTCAATGGGCGTTTTACGGTGGCCCTGTAGTTGGAGAATCCGCAATAAAATATCTGAATGAGGTAGGACCAAAGGTGTCACATATTTATGAAATATTTAACGAAGGCCCGTGGAAGGTCAGCACTGTGGAAGTGCGCATTTCATGGCCTTACGAGGTCGCGAATGACAAAGCGCATGGAAAATGGTTGCTCTATATGGAAGAGATGCCAACTATTCAAGGTAATACAAAATTCTTTGTTCCTTCGATTGACCCTCCCCCCCCTCTCTTTTTCTCTCTCTAATACACCAAAATAAAAAAATCGAGTAGAAGCTATTTGTCTGATTGTAAGATTGAGAAATGAGAATTAATTATTTCATTCTTGAGATTCAAGAATTCACCAATTAAAGTTTTAAATTCATCATCTAAAAGACGAGCATTTTACGAAAAAGATAAAAATGCAGTATGTGTGCGTGCGTGTGCGATGATCAATTTAAAATGCTTAAAGCAAAAATTAATTTATTTTTAAGAGAATGAAGATTAAGTATAAACTTCAGAGACTCTATATTTATCTTTCTTATTAAAAAAAAAAAAGAAATTATAAAAATGTTTTAAAAGAGGAACTTAAAATTTTTACTTCCTGCAGAGTTTGAAAGCTCATAAATAATTTTTAATTGTGAGTAATTTGTTTTTCATCATTCGAGTGTTTTAATTCTAGGGGGTTGGGCAAAGAAAAATATAATATATGTATATAAATATGATATTTAAGAATATGTAGTATATACATATATTAATACATATGTTTATCTCTTTTTATTGCATAAGATTTGTTCAGTATATTACATTAATGTTATTAAATGTGATAAAAATATACAATATTGTAAAATATTACACAAATTAAGCTAACAATACATCTAAATACGTATGTTAAATGATATAGCTCTGGGAGATGGTGAATGTACATTACCACCAGGATATGTAGTCAATCCATTAAAACTACAAGATAATGTCAACTTGGACGATATCGATAACATTATACAATCATCAACTCCATCGACAATCTTATATAATCATACTAATCACATAAGAACAACGCGAGATACAGAAAAAGTTGTAAATACGCGAACAATTATTGACAAGGATGGACATCGACATCGTGTTGTGGTGATGGTAAGTTATCACTTATGGTAAATCGTCATTCAATTATATTCGCAAGGTATAATTAGGAGAGTCGCATATAGAACTCTGAAAATAAACGCGAAATTTGTAATAAATCCCTATACGAACTGATTCATTGTATATGATACAAATGTCATAATTCTGAAATTATAATTATGAAATAGATATTGTGTTTCATTATTTATGAAATAGAATTGTAAATGTGAGGTATTTTTTTTCAATATCTATTCAAACTCCATTTTCATAAAAGGCAGTGTCAAAAATTAAAATATCCTTTAGCGTTCTTAAATTTTTACATAGAATTTCATTATTCTTAAGCTTTCAAAATTTAAAGCTTTTCTATTTTTGCGAATTCATTCTATATAGGACATTTTGATAGCAAAGCGTTTTTTATGAAGTGTTGATGGAAGGATTCTTACATTACAGAATTGCAAAGCTGGCACAGCAAAATGTTTCGATATTACATGTTACATATATAACTTACAGAGGAAACAGGAAGCAATCATAACTGTTAAAGCGAGGTAATAATAGAAATGTAAAAGTGATTATCATTAATTGCATCACACTTGATCACAAATAAATGACTTATTAATTTATTAATATGGATCACTCTTAATTATATAATTAATATAATACTTTAAGGAGCGAACTAATATTTTAGAGCTCAAAACAAAAAAAATATATTAACGTATTAACATAATACATTAATGTATGTTAATAAACACAATCAAGTTTTATCTTTCCCAGACAATTGAATAAGAAGTTTTATTAATATTAATATTTCAATTATATTCATTTTAATATTGTAGAGCATCTTATAATCTTCAAAGAAATAACTGATTTCAGACTTTGGAATTCTACTTTAGTCGAAGACTACCCGAAAGTGGACATGGTTAAAATAGGTTCCAATGCTAGAATAGTAATACCTTCAAACATTGTGATACAACAAGAGAACTTGAAGGATGATTACGCAATTGTAAGCACATTTTTCTATATATGTATACAATATATATTTCGATACTTGATAATTGTCTATATCAAACCCAAGATACTGATAATTGATAATAAAATTCTAATGTTGCATTTCCAATCTTAAATTTAATACAAAAAGATGTAAGAAACATATTAAAAGCGTTACGATAAAAATTTAATAGTGTTCTTTCACATTATTGTATAGGCCGAGACAATCGCTTATCCAGATCTATTGGATCAGCAAGAAGCCGAGCCTGTACCAGTGTGGATATATATAGTGGCTACAGTAGCTGGCATGTTATTATTCATTCTACTTACATTAATATTGAGAAAATTCGGATTCTTCAAAAGGCGACGGCCAGATCCGACCTTATCTGGAAATCTCGAGAAACACAGAGACGATAATCCTGAAAATGAAGCATTATTCAAACATTAAGCACTAAATAATCGAAATATAAAACATAGAAACATAAAAACGCAACAAACTGTCATGATTACTTAAGATTAAGTACTTATGGTATAGAAGAAAAAAATGATGAAAAAGAATGTTTATTCACGTACACAATTTATTTCTGGTTTTATACTGCCTGAATTTGAAATGCATATTTTGTACATACGCAAGAGCAGCTAAGTACACGAAGATTGATATATTGAAGTTTGTGATATTGTTATACTAAATACATTTTTTACACACAACAAATTTTTCTCGAAGAATATTCAGATTGTATGTATGTATGTATGTATGTATGTGTGTATACATATATCATATAAATGCCTTAACGTTATCTTTTATTAGAGAAAAAAACGCGCATCATGTTTAAACAGTTATCAACAATGACTATCCGTAATGAAGAAACAGGCAATATAAAGCAATAATCAAAAAGTAGCTTTTGTGACATGTATTATATTTGAAAAATTAAAAGAATTTATTTCCTATGTTATTTAAGTTTATAAAGGCATTTTTATAATTTTTATAATTATGTTAGTTTTAAAAGTTATTTAAAAATATCTACTTATTTTGAATTAACAGATATAATATAAATAATTAGATCAAAAAATATCCAACGACTGTTAAGGCATTTGTAATATCTATTGTATAATGAAATAGCCATTTTATTCCAATAGGAAGTATATAGCTATTATTATTAGTTTTTATTTATATTTTACTCATGTCATTATATATTTAAAGTAGCATTGACATAATATAGGAGGGAGTGATAAATTAAATTTGTAATAAAAATCATTCTCTTCATCCAAACATTATAGTGAAATTTAAAAAATTATATAATTTTATATTTGTTTTATTTTTAAAAGATAATTTCCTTAAAATTAAAGTAAAAAGTAAATAAAATTATTAAAACTGCGAGATATAAAACACACGATGACTCAGAATCGAATATATTATAATGATTTAAATGCATTAATATCTATTCATCATGTAATGGAACTATTCTTCATTATTATCATTCTTCATCTTATTATTATTCTTCTATTATTATTATTAATCTTCTATAATATTTTATTATTATTATTATTCTTCATTATTTTTTAATTTTTATTTAAAAATATCCCCATCTAGCAGATCTGAGGTTGTATTAAATTATTGATTATATGTAGAGTGTTCGGTAAACACTGTAACAACGCTTAAGGATAAATTCCTCCTGAGATCATTTTAAGACGAAAATCCTAATACCAAAATATTATAAGCTATAATAGTTCTTGATTATTAATAAGCATTTAAAATTAGCAAATCATACTGCCGATACTACTTAAAGTTCTGATGTGGTATAACGGAAAATGTATCAAGCACACTTGAATGCGCGACCTTTAGACGGTACGATTCGCTAACTTTAAATGCTTATAATTAAAAAATTATTATAGCCTTTTTGATATAGACATTTGATATAGACATTATTAGAATTTTTGTCTTAAAATGATCTTTTATTACGATCTTTACCGGGGACACTGTATATAATTATTAAAGCTTTAAGCTCTGATATATTCTCTATTGTAACAGGAATACAAAATGCAAGTTTTAAATGTATTGTGAACAACTATGAAACATGTTAAATACATATATTCGTTGAGATATTTGGAAATTTAAATTTAGAATTCTGTATAATTGACTATTATTCTATAAATATATTTAATATTTGTTTAATGTATCTATAAATTTTATCATTTTATAAATTATTTGTTGTAATCTGGTAAAAGAAAGAAATCATTCCGTTACACACAATAAAAATGTTTTATATACATATATATGTAATTTAAAAATGAAAGGAAAAAGATTTCGCATAAATACAATGTCATATTTATATTATCAGACTGTCAAAACTGAATGATGTTACGATCTCGAAAACTAATGATGTTACGATCTCTCTGCCAATATTTATTTATACTGCCTTAAAAACGGAAACGAAAATAACAAAGTTCACATACAGAACGTTTGATTTATCAAGCACCTTATATTACAAGTATAAAATTTGTTTATCGTTTAGTAATATTTTCTTATTATATATACATATATTCTTTTAGTGATGTTACATGCGATAATAAATACTATATTTATCTGTAATAGATTTTACATACATATTTGCATTTTATTAATATTTACAATAAAATTTTATTCTAAAATATACACACACACATATATGTATATTAGCCGAGAGCATATTTCTTTATATATCTTTAATGAAACCTTTATATTTTAAAATAAAAAAAAATCGGAAGTTTTGCAAGTATGTGCATTCGTACAAAAGAAAATTCGAAGAATACTAATAGCGTTTTCCCTTGATTGCACTAGTGCAACATTCAGGCTGTAACGTGTTTCCATGGCTGATAGTAAGCGAACTCATTAAATGTACCGTGTTTCCATTGCTATGATGCAAATTTTATATACGAAATGGAATTTCGTCTCAAAGAGACGGTGAAAAGGCAGTGTGACATTTAAAATTTGAAAATGGAAGTTAATTGAGAGCGATTTTAGCGCAATAATGAATGGCTACATTCAGCAAAGAAAGCAACTGTTGTAAAATTCTTCATTATAATTGGTTTATACATTTAGATCCGTAAGGAACCAAAAGCAAGAACCAATCATATTTAAGAATTTTACAACAGTTGCAAAAAACTGCTTTTTCTACTGAACGCAGCCAATGAAGTATAAGACTGCGTTCTGTTTCATGCATGATGCATCTTTTATCCTTGTTATTCACTGAATGTTAAACAAGGATAAATGATGCATTATGCACATCATGCGTAAAACGGAATGCAACCCAAGTGTACACTACGATGTGTACCACTCTAAGTGCAGCACTTAAATGCAACTAGTAAGGTGCAAAGCTACACCCAGTGCATCCCAAGGGAAAACGCTGTAAGTAGAATATATAACAAATTTGTTCTTGACAAGGTAAGTAATAAAAGGCAATGATCATTTATTCTATAAAGAAATTTTAAATTAAAATTTCTACTTATTTAGTAATAATTTTCCCGTTGTATGTATTATATATATCTAATATTGGAACATCCTATATTTCTTTTTAAATTAAAATTCATATTTATATTTTTTATCTTACCCTGAATGTATCTGAGGAGACCTACTTAGACTAGCATTATGTATTATGAAAAAAATTATTGGCTATGATGATCGATATCTAGAAATGGTTTGTTACAATACTTTTCCAGATAACAGCAATCTGCGATCACAAACCTGTATGAAATTAAAGGCATAATTATTTAATTGTATTTATGTATGTGTAATCGCAGCTCTATTATACTCAATAATTATATTAATAAGATTGTACAATAAAAGTTCAATATAATCTTTACACAAATTATATTTTATATGTATATAAATGTAATTCAGATAATAACGAAAATACATCTGTAGTCTACAATTATTTACATGCATACATGCATGCATAATTACCTATATAATAATACTGTCAAGGGAACAGTACTAGCATGCCACAAGGAATGAGCATCAAATATCCAAAAAATGGGAGGAAAATCTGCCAACTCGAGTAGAGTCACGAAAGTAGTTAATATATTGAACCAAGCGATTAAGTACATATAAGGCAACTTAATGCGGTTAAGATACCACCACAGCATTGTTATCGTGACAGTCGCTAATCCTAGAATTATAAACGGTTCAATTTTACAATGTAGTTTTGTTATCTTCTTGTAAATATATTACACAATCACGATATGAAATTTACCTATCGCTACATTAACCATCATATTATAACCATAATTAATTCTGCCTGACCATAAATGTGACAAATGTGTACACAAAATGCTCACATATCCACATGTTATAATAATAAATGCTTTAGTTCCCTTGTTCGTTATTCTAAAAATAATTACTACGTATATTAGATTTAATATGAAATAATCAAGAATAATAAATTAAATATATTGTTATGCCCGCATCGTGCCGACATCTGTCCTGTACCATCGGTGCCGAATGTCGGCACGATACGGGCATAACAACATATTAAAAGACTGTCTTTGAATTCTAAAGTTACTTTACTAAATACATATTAATCATTGAATTAATTAATTAATTCAATGATTATTTTATATACTTTTAAATATTAAAAAAAAATACATTAATTATATTCAGTAAAAACTTATTGCACATACCTTAAAAGCATGCAATATAAGAGTGTAAGTACCATACCAAACGCACAAGAATAGTCCATAGCTTCTGTAAATGGCCAGTCCCGCGAATGAAATACGGTTGACCAAAACCATCCATTTAAACATATCTATAATAAAATTACACTTTTTAAGCAAATTATGTAATACTCGAAGAGGATTAATGTGAGTCAAGAGAAAAATGTTTAACGATAAATAACATCCTTAAACATAGCTAATTTACTTGAGAAAATACATAATTAAGAAAATGTGAAAAATCATATTGCTTTTTGCCTATAAATTTATTGACCAGAATGAAGCAACTCTTTCCTTAATAAAAAAATTATGAGAAATCAATAATCTTTAAGTTTTAAATAATTGAAAATAAAGTTTTCAAAAAAAAAAATTAAATTTCAAAGATAATAATACAGATATTGACAAACTTTTTCATTACATTTGAAATGTATTTTACTTGAATAGATTTATAATTCATTAAAACATGTGATGTATTAAAAATTGAAAATTTGCAATGAATAATAATGTTTATCAGCTTGGCTAAAAAAATTGTACAATTCCAAATTAATGAAAAAAATGTATATGTAAAAAAAATTGCTGTTTTAGACACTTGAAGATATATATAAATACTGAACTTACAATATTGAAATATGTCCAAGCATAGAACATAGGATTAGTTTGATCTATCCTTCTTTTAAATTTTCGATACATTATCCAATGTGCACACAAATTTAGTATAGAGAATAAAACTGAAGCAGGCTCTTGACATCCAAACAAACGAATGAATGGCCACTGTAAAAATAAGAATAATCTCTATTGTTATTCATATCAAATGGATTATCATAGGTATACGTTATATGAATAAATGAAAATATTATGTAGTACTGATACATTGTAGAAATTAAAATGCTATATAAAAGTAATATATATTCTATAAAAATAATATCTGCTTTTATAGAAATAATATGTAAGCGAATGTTTTTATGCAATTATACTACAAAAAAGTTGATTTAAATAAAGATATTATTTTTCCTTCCATAATTAAATCTTTTCATATAATAAAGATTATGACTACATATTTAGCTTACTTTTCCATGAAACTGTGGTATGTTCCAACCATGAGATACATAGTAATCAACGGTCCTCCATATGCAAATATAACTACAATCTTCCTTGCAAGACCAGTGTAGCAAGATTAAGAATAAAGAAGGTTGTTCCTTAAAATTTATTTCTACAACATGCATCATTTAAAACATTTAAAATTGTTAAATACTAAACCTTCAACAAAAGAAATATTTTTATAAGTACAAAAATGCATCCAAAAAGAATTTTACTACTAGTAACAAAGTTGTAGAACGATATATCAAACACACAATACAGAGTATCTTGATTGATTCATAGCATACTTAATATTCATTAGATTCAAGATATTTTGAGTAAATCAGACTGAAGAAAAAAATAAGGATAGTGAATTACATAAAAAATTTACATCCATTTTAATTCTGGATAATCATGACGATTATTTTAAATATAATATTATATTACTAAAGTATAAAGAAAATAAAGAAGAATTTCTATTATTTTCTCATTTATTTACATATGTATTATATTTGCATACATATATATTGCTTTTTATATGAATATGATTTGTTAATATTCTATATAAGTACATACTCTTTATAAATGTATATAATTAAATACTATATATTATATAAATAATATATATTAAAGAATTCAAAAAAAATGTGGAAAAAATCGCAGCCCAATCATTACCGTCTCTGCAGTTTTTATTGCGACACAGTGCTAGACATTGGTTGTATATTTGCGACTTGTCACCTAACGAACCAATCGTATTTCCAACGAAACAAACTTGTAGAATCAAAAGAACCCATATCATTTTTGGCATGTCGCCCAATGTCGATCCATGAGTCCATGACGGAATTATGACGGTGCTGTATAAGCTGATTCACGAAGATGCGCAGTAACAAAATAATGACATTCGCGCATTTCAGCTAGAGAGCTCCCTCAAAAGGAGAGAGGGGCAAATTGCATCACGTGAATGCCCGCGTCCAATCAGGACGAGGGTCACGTGACCAGTTTTCTTCAAAGTTTGTTTGCGTCACAAGCTCCATCATGCTCCAACATGCTCCTACCATAGCTCCTACTCACTCTACCAAGCGCGTTGGAGTGAGTAAGAGCTATGGTAGGAGCATATTGGAGCATGTTGGAGCATGCGACGCGAACAAACCTGTAAGGAGTGGTCACTACCTTAATGCGGGTCGTAGGGTCTTAAGTCGTAGAAAATTGACCAATCACAGTCGAATATGAGAAGAATAATCAACTGTGATTGGTCAATTTTCTACGACTTAAGACCCTACGACCGCTACGACTTCTATTGTAGACCCCTCATTACGATTACGACTAAAATTTTTGTACGGTGATGGCCTTAAGCCTGATTTATAATGGCCGTAACCGTTAACTTATGCCGGTGCCGG